CCCCCCCCCCCCCCCCCCCCTCAGTAAAGAAATACAAGTGCGTACAATTTTTAAAGGTCTGGTTACGCCCCTGAAAGCACCCCTGATTTTTGAGTGTTGAGTAAGGAACATGAACCTTTTGAAAGCAAAGGTAACTAGCATATATATATATATATATATATATATATATATATATATATATAATTAAACAGATAATAAATTCGAGGCTTGTCTAAACCTCAACTCTGAGTTTTATCATTTAGTATTTATTTATTTATTTATTTATTTATTGGATTGTGTATAAATGCTCTGGATATGACACATTTATATATATTATGTCCAATGGGATTTTGAAGTCACGCACTGCAAATGTTACTATGTGAAAAAAGAAAAAAACACAGCAAAATAGCATAAAATCAAGAAAATGTCAAGCATTTGCACCAGTATGTACAAGTATCAAGGGCCGCGTTGCACAAGTGAAACAGTTTTTAGCAGCAGTTTCAACACATTTAACAGTGTCAGAAGTGTTTAAACACATTCCTGTGGACCATATATTACATTTTATGGGATGTTATTTCACCTGAACAGGCCATTGAAGCAGCACAGTAGCTCATTAAAGGTTTAATTAGCTTATTTAGTCCGTCTGGCCGTTTAAAATCAAATTGATTGCGTCTATTATGTTTTAACTGCCAGTAGGGAGTGCTAACATAAAACGACTAAATTCCAGCCTGTGGGAGATGTTTCATCTTACAAGGGTGGAATTGGCTCTACTGAGACCTTAACATGAAATTTTCCAGAATGGTCAGCATTTTATAAGCATTTAGTTGATTCTTCTCTGTATAAAAATAACCTATATGTACATAATAACCAAATGTCCGGGGTCGTATTCTCAAAAGGTTATAATTAACTCATACGTGCAACTGCCCGATGGTAAAAATAATGACATCAACTGCATCGCGCCCTTCCCCCTTATTGTGCCTTCCCCGCGTTCTGCCGGGTCTTTAAAGTGTTGGGCTTCAAAACAGGAATTTGAAAAAAAAAATTAATGGACCCTTTTCCACGTTTTTTACCTAATGCGCATGCGTACAGCCTGCAACAAAGTCCCTTTAGGTTGAAGGCAATTGTGAATTTACGAGAGAACGCACAAGATATAGTCACTTACAAATCTTCGAGAATATCAACATACGCAAACAGTCGGAATTTCGTGAAAAGTTGCTAGAAAACGTACCTGCAAGTGACAACCTTTACAGAACACCGCCCAGGATTAACACTATAGTGTACAGGTAAAGAATGATTGTGAAGAGACCCCTTCAAAATGTCGATGCCATTGATTGATATCTAAATCGGCAAGTTCAAAATATACGCTTTTCAAGCCAATCCATGAAATAGGATCCAACTACGAAAAGAACCCGTTGCATCTTATTTTCAGTAATAAAAGTGGTATAAAAGTGCTATATGCAGGGGCGGGTCCAGAGATATTTTCTGACAGTCTTCCAAATTATCTTTATTGATCCAACCTCCATTTTTGACCGTCTTCCAACAGAAAAAAAAAAGATATCCGTCATGGCCGTCAATGTAAACTTCCAGAAGGCCCAGAAGACGGCCTAAATCCGCCCCTGCTATATGTATAGGCCTACTTTGTGAAAAGAATGTCGAAATCAGCGGCACATATTCTTTCAATTGTAGGAGGATTAATCTCCGCAATCTCAAAGTGCACACCCATAGGGATTAAGTGGGATACACACTGAAAACATATCTAAAATAATACGATGCGATTTGGTGTAATGTTGAAAACGGATGTCATGATTGTGCTGATATTTCGAAACAAAAATACACGGATAATTGTAATTTGGCCTCTTTTTTTGCATAAAGACATAAACCAATACTGTATGGCAAATGTTAATTATGAGTGTACAGATTCCATTCGAGATAGCTTTTTTTTTTGTTTGTTTCTTGTGTTCGTAGATCTAGCCGCAGCCATGATGTTACATGTATGAGAGTGGCATTGCCGAAATGGACTCTTTGTTCTCCTATTTAACGGTGAATTTCTGTCATTTTAGTTTTCTTCAACTCAAAATAACTCCTACCTTCCGTGAAAAAGACATTTCAGTTATCACCATAATATCATTGGCTTCTCTCTCAGATCTCCACCATGGCACAAACCATGAAACCGTATCCGGAGCCCTATCCACAGCAAGACCCACGGTATGGATACGACCAAGGACCTCAGCCCTCAACATGTCAAGCGCAGGTTTGTAAAGGGGAGTTCTATAGGGTTCCATGGGGCGATTTAAACGTATGTGTCAAGAAACTTTCTTTGTCTAATAGCGTCTCTGTGTTGATATGTATACGGTATGTGTGCGCTTGGAATATCGAGACGCTGAAACGCATTCAATAAGGCCTCATTCAGAACAACGGTCTGACAAGTCCGCAGATCAAATATGGCCGACCCACTTGAATACTTCCTCATGGGGAATCTATTCAGTGTCTATTAGCGGATTAGACGGCAAGCTTTTTAGTTGGTCGCCATATTTGACCCGTATTCTAGTTAGTCCACTGTGCTGAATGCGGCTCAAGGTACGCTGCTGGCGGTAATAGTACTAATACGCCATGCGTTTGTAATGTTTTTCCTGGAATGGTTCATTCAAGTGTACATGTATGTTCTATCATTTCCCTGTATACATTTTCATGTAGCCAACCCATTTAATTATCTATTTATTTTTTCGAAAACAGTAAGTACATTCATGCAATGCATGCACCGGGTGTTGTCTTTTTATTGAAGAAAGGAAGAAATGAAGATCTACAAACCTCCGAAAAGACAGCTTAATTCTCAATATTATTCATAATTAATTTACTTACTTATTAACAAAATTACAAAGAACTTATCATTAATTATTTATTCATTAAGTAATTAATAGGATAATCTCTCATTATTACTCATTAAATTAATTAATTAATTAAATTCTCAACAAAATCTACTCCATATCTGACCTAGCTTATTCTATGAAATTGTTAGGCAAATAATTGCAATATATGTAGTGATTTCAGTAGAGGTAGAGTAGAGTAGAGCCGCGGCCAAAAACAGACGCGGCCAGATAAAAGGCGGCATCATTGGTACAATGTGATATTGCTGCAATCGACACTTTGTCCTCCTACTGGCATTCCTACATGTATTATTACATGTTTAAACACAAAAAGAGAAAAAAAAGCCCACATATAATTTTCAGAAAAAAAAAAAGAAGTTTCAGTTCTGTACAAAACATCTGGTTCCTTTTTGTCTCAGCCCTACGTCATGGTACCCACCCAGCAAGCGTACCCGGAAGCCTATCCCCAGCAAACCCTGCTGTATCAGTATGGGTACGGTCTAGGACCTCTACCCTCCAACAATCCAGCGCAACAAGCACAGGTGTGTATATAAGTGTTTCTCTTGGGGCGTATCAAGCGCTACCCTGAGTGCCAGAGCAACGTAAAAATTAGCTTGTAAATATTAAATATACCTTGGAGACATTTTTACTAGTATATTACTGGTGTTACTGGTATTGCTGATATGGGTTATATATGAAATCAAGATCGACCTGGCAATACCGGAATCTAGAACCTAGGGTAATCAAGCGCATGTGTTTAGACACGCACTTTATCTACTGGCGGTAATGCACTATGCTTTCTTCATCATCGCCCTTCATTTATTGTTTTGCTGGAATTGGAAATTATAGGGCCAGTCCCAGACCATAACGCACTAACTGTGGATTGATCTATCTCCGAGAGGATTCTCGCTTAATTGCAATCAACTTAAGAGACTTAGATGTCTGTCACGCCTACTGAAGTTTCTAGGAGGTAATTTATTATCGCTTAGCAGCTTCAGTAGGCGTGCCATACATCTCAGCCGCTTAAGCTCAAAGCAATTTAGCGAGAATCCCCACAGAGATGGATCGATAATGTTAGATCGAACAAGGTATGGGAACCCAGTCATATTCTAGTATTACCGGTACACTGCTAGGATTGCACTGTATAAATTAATTTTCACCATCTTTGTTTGACCATTATATTTTAGGTTCATAAATATGAATAACTCTGATAGTAGTGCTTGGTCTTCTGTGATGTTTAACTCGTACTTTTAAAGTTTGGAGACTTATTCCTAGCCGTATGACAATACATCAGGTGACCAGTCCCTCCAGGTCATTTACCTAATGAAAGGTCTCGGGTTGAGACCGCAACGTCGGTCAGTTGTTTAATATAAGTTCCAGTAACAGAGTTGTACACTTTTATCATTCTTATTCTACCGGATGACTAACAACATTTACTGATATATATTTCAGGTGATTGTGAACCAGCCCTTTCCAGTGGTCAGCACTGTACATGTGTTTGGCCCTGCCCAGCCGAAACCGCCAAACTTCATGGCACTGTCCATCTTTGTGGTTCTATGCTGCTGCTTTCCAATTGGGATAATTGCCCTTAAATATTCAAGTAATTCTCTACCTAAATATATACTTGAAAAAAAAAAAGAAATGAAAACATGCCTCGGCGGATGTCTTCTAATGGGTTTTATGAAGACAAAAAGTAATCCTAAACGAAGTGATGTGTTATTACATGTGCATGTAGATGAGAACCCGGTGCGCTTAATTACATATAATACGTGTTTTATTATACTATAAAGATATGCGTTGTGTTTTTGGCATAGTATAAAAACAGTGTTGGCCTTGTCTACT